AGATGCTCCTATCTTCTGACCATTCAGGATATATTAATGTGACCTTGGGGGGCCACTCTGCTGTTATTCCAGGAATACACAGGAGGCCAGATTCCAGGCCTTGTCCCCAACATGCCATGAGAGCCAGCCATCATTGGTCCATGTGTCAAAGGTCCAAAGTCACGTACATTGAATGGAGTCTCCGGTGTTTGGTGTAGTTGGTGCTGCCAACGAGACATTACTCTAGTTGCTGAACCTCGGCTTCAGTGATTCTTCCTTGGTTTTTATTTCCAGTTGTATAGGGGAGGCAGCAATATATGTTCACATGTCTACAGAGCTCAGGGCTCCCTTTTGGTGTCTCCATCAAATGCCGTGGCATGGTCTATAAGAGGACTGAACATCCCCACAGACTATTGGTATCTGACTTCAGTCTATATTTTAACAAGCAATTGTGTCTCTCTATCATGCCTGCTTGGCATTATAGAGGATTGTACGTCACATGAAACTTCAATTTGATTCCCAGCTGTCACACCCATTCTTGCAATATATGTCCAGTAAAATGGGTGACCTGATCACTCTCAATTACCTGTGGTGTGCCATAGGCAGCAATGAGATGTTCCAGGCCTCTTTTGGTCATCTGCTGGTCTGCACAAAGGGTTGGAAATGCAACCAGAAGTCCAGTACCTGTATCCACAGAAGTCATGGCACACCGATATCCTTCTGACACAGGTAGAGGCCCAGCCCAGTGTAGTTTTTCTGTCACCTGATCAGGAGTATAGGCCCCTTCACTATTGTCCAAAGTTGCTGTGGAACTTGCTGTAAGACCCTTTTGGAGCACAAGACACACTGCTGTCGGGCTCTAGTAACTTCTTCAACTGCCATTGGCACACCCAACAGATGGACTACAGCCCACGTAGTCTTTTGCCCCGCACACAACAATCACTGATGTAACCTTTGGGCTGCACCCATCAGAGGCAGGCTTTCCTTCTAACCAGTAGGTCTGGGACAATTTATCTGCTTCATCATTTCCTGGTGATGCAGTGACAAATGACCTGTCACATGTTATGCTGTAATTATTTTAGTCTGACTAGGGGCCCATATGTCTTGCCACAACTCTTGCACCCAAAGTGGTCAGTGACCAACGAGCCAGTTGCATGGTACCAGGTTGGTAGCCACAGTGTCAAGCCCTGACAGCCCAGCTGTCAGTGCAGACAACTATAGGGAATGGCTCCTGGCTGATCACAAGCACAAGGACTTCATCTATGCCCTTTGAATGTTCTTCCCCTACCTTCCATCCATATTTTCTCAGTCTTAGGGTGAAAAGCTATGGCCCTCCATTTTGGGGCTGCACACAGCTGGAGCCATTTGTGTACCATGCATCTTCGGTTATAGGCACTCTTCCCTCCCAATAGGAACACTCTGCTAATAATGGTTCAAAAGCAAGTTCTTCATGCTTTTCACTAGTATATGCCACTGGACCCAATAAGTGTTGGAATTCTTTACCCAAGGGGCAACTACAGAGGGCACTACACTGCTGTAGGTAAGCACCCCACTTGACCAATGTGGGCGTTTGTGCCACAACACTCCTTGGCTTTTGGGTCCAGTCTTGTACCCACGTCAAAATGGGATAGGAGGTTATTACCTTTATCAGGGCCATTCCAGTTTTGGGTTCTGTAGCCAGCAAGGCATGATACATGGCAGCCAGTTCTTTTTCTATCAAAGTATATTGCACCTCTGCCCCTTTCAGAGTTGTGACCAGAATCCAATAGGCTGGTGAGTTCGTTCAAGCTGTCAGAAACCCCAGCCATAACCGTCTTCAGTCACATGTACATTTACCTCAAAGGGCCTGGATGGGTCTATCACACTCAAGGCGTGCATGGCCTTGACTGCCCATTTTGCTGTAGTAAAGGCAAATGCACATGTCTCAACCCAGTCCCACCTGATGCCCTTTTGTACCAACCAGTATAAGGCTTTAGAATTTGTGCTAAGTGCGGGATAAACACTCTCGAGTAGCCTAGAAGACCCACAAACTCCTGTAACAATGCTACAGTTATATGGGAAGGAAAGGCCTGGACTTTACCTTCGACTGCTTCTGGTACAACTTTGGTCTTACCTGACCAGACAACCCCCAAGAATTTGACAGACAAACCAGGTCCCTAAACCTTGGTACTGTTCACAGCCCATCCTTTCTCCTGTAGATGTTGAGGCAGTCTAGGTGCTACACCTTCTAGATCTGAAAGAAAATAAGATGTGAGCATGAATTCATCAATATAACGGTACAGCCACACCATTGGCAGTTTCTCCCATGTAGCCTTTCCTTGGAACAGCAACACCATTGGCGATTGGTCCCATGTAGCCAGGTCCTGGGATACAAGTCCATGACAGATGGTAGGTCTGTGGAGGTATCCCTGTGGAAGGATGGTGAAAGTCCATTGTCGTCCTTCCCATGTGAAGGCAAACTCTTCCTGACTTGCTTACTCTATGTCAATGGAAAAGAGGGCATTAGCAAGATCTCCCACATAATGGTATGTTCCTATTTCATGGCTGATGTTATCCGTTAGGCCTGCAATAGAGGGGACAGCAGCATGCATAGGGGTATGACTTTATTCAATTCTCTGTAATCCACAGTAATAGGCCAGGAGCCACTTAGCTTTGTTACTGGCCACACTAGGGAATTAAAAGGATTATGGGTGGGCTTTATAATACCCACGTTTTCCAGCTCCTGGAGAATTTCTACAATCTCCTTATGCCCTCCAGGCCATTCTATTGTTTGGTATTTGTCAACCACTGAGGCACAGGCAAAGCTATAGGCGGGTGCCTAGCATATCCCCTCAGAACTGCCTTCACCACATGCACTCTAAGTCTGAACTCACCTGTAGTGCTCTGCAACCATAGACCCTGCCGGATGTCAATCCCCAAAATATACTCAAGGATAGGAGATGTATACACAGAATAGTCTTTTGGGGGTAGATGCCCTATTCCCAAAGAGATTTGTTCTTGTTTCACTCTGATAGCCTTAACCTCGTATGCATCTATGATAGTGGGGATCCCGAGGAACCACTCAGGGTTACCATGAATCAATGAACATTCATTCCCTGTGTCCACCAGAGCCAGGACACTTTGTATGTTCACTGGGGACCAATGGATAGGTATTTCAACATGTGGCCTCCAGTCCCCTCTGGTCCATCAGAGCAGATACCTCAACCATCCCCTCAGTGAAACCATGTTCCCCAGTCATCTTCCTGTGTGGGCTCAAATGAGGTTGGCTTGCTCTCCAGCAGGAAGTCTTGCAAACAAACAGGCTGGACTTGTGGCTCTGTCACTGGCCTCTGTCTCTTTGGTCTTAATGGATGGAATTGCTGCTCTGGTTTCAGGTGTTGCCATAGCTCTAGTAAGATCCTATTAGACTTCCCATCTAATTTCCTTCCATCTTCTCCTGCCTGTATTAAATCAACCCACATCTGGGTGCTCATAACCTTCATGGGGCCCTGTAAATTCTTCTTGGGAGTAACAAACCTTATTTCTTTTCATGTTCTCATTGCTTCAGCCTCTTCTAAGTCTGCTACTGTGTATGTGTCACCTCGCTTATGGGCTGCCATAAGTAAGGGGAAAGAATGGCCATTAGAGACCCAAAGAGGGGTGTGGGAGCCATTTGAAGCACAATATTTCTCATCCCAGTAGTAAAAATCTCTTCATCTGGGTCATAATTCTCTGGAGTATAGGTGGCATTTATTATGCCTAGCTGTTGGAGCTCAGCATATGTCTGCCATCTAGCAGGAGAAGACGGTAGATCACCCTGAGCTGATTGGACGACACAGCATGAAGTGCAGCCATAAACCAGTTGAGGAGGGCGTGACTACCAAGGGGCTGATGTACATTTTTTAATCACTGCCTCAAGCAGGCTACGCTGTCAGGGAAGCCAGCTTTCCCATCTTTTATGCTGACAGAACAATTCCACCCACCCCTGAGTCCCACAGATGCAGGAGCCAAGCTGATATTGACACTGAGAGCTTCTGCCTAATCTGGGAGCCCAAAACCACCAGCTCAGCCTGTGGATAGTTGTGGATTATAGAGTGCTCCATGACCTGCGAAGGGGCTGCTCTTCTCCTTGGGGAACTTTAAGACGCTGGGTATTTATATTCTTTACAACCACAGGGCATGCTTTCAATGCAGAAGGGGTCAGTGCCTCCAGCCCTACACCTTCATCCTTCCCCAGCTCCTCCATTTCCGGGACTGATGGCACCTTTCTCTCCCCTCCCCCATATGCCTATTCTGCTACAACCTCTACCTTTTCTACCGTGCCTTACAGCAATGCTAGCTCAGTCTTCAGCAGCTCTCTTACTTTCACCTCAATGCTTCACAGCTGGTGTTCTCATGCCACTTCTTCCTGTGCTTCTCTCAGGAGTTCATCTTTTTTATTGATGGCCTTTTCCTCCTTCAGAACACCTGGCAGTGCTACTGTCTCATTCTCTAAGGAATCTTTTACCTCTTCAATGGCACCTCGCTGCTGACGTTCTCATGCTGCCTCCTCTCACATCAATGCCATTTCCTTCTTCAGAGAATCCACAGAAGTTTGCACCTTGCATTCTTGTGCCACCATTTCTTGGGTACTTTTCAGGAGCATGTCCTTCTTTTCTGTAGACTTTTTTAATACTGTGAGAAGCAGCCTCCCCACACTCCCCAGTGCCTCACGGCCATTCTGTCTCTCAAAAGACCTACTTACTATACCAAGGGCTATCCATACTGCCTCAAGTATCACCTCCACTTACCTTCAGTCCTGGGGTGAGGCCCAGTCCTCTAGGAGGCTAGCCACCTCAGACCACATACCCACTGGGGGACAATCCACTGTCTCCCCATTCACAGGTGCAGCTGGCTGAAGAACCCCTCCCATGAGGGCAGCCTTTCCTTTTCCTTGTTCAATAGTGAATTCTGCCAATTATGCCAATTGTCTTGCCAATGGATTTCAGCCCTGGCCAAGTTCGCTATGGATTCAACGTGACTAAAGAAAATGACAGCAAACGTTCTTTGTGATGAAAGGGTTTATTATCCAGCTTGTTCTCACAGTGGTAGGTCGAGCAGTCACATCTATGCCTCTGCTGAGAATGCTGGGCCGAGCTCTCTATATAGTGCAATAATAGCTTATTGCCTAAAGTTATGGAAGCAGTAGTCTAGCAACAGGCCAGTTACTATCAGGTAGTTTAAGTTCAGTGAAGATTCTGGACATAGGAGCCCCAAATTCCCTACAAAGAAACAAAAAATCACAAGCACAAGACCATTACTCCCAAAACAATTCACAGTAGCAAAGATAAGAAACAAGACAGATGTTCACCAAAATTGGGCTGGCTGAAAAACCTATAGAGTACACCTTACACCTACATCCTAGACTACCACACAAGTATGAAAAGCACGAGGGATTCCAGAAAGGTAGCAGTTAGAAGCCATGCCTCCCCACCCCCAACGAAGAGACACTGATGTACATACAGTCCAAAATACCTATATGAGAACTCCAAAAGTACCACATTGTGTATATGGTCAAATGATCTTTGATAAGGGTGCCAAGGCACACAATGGGGAAAGGATATCCAATTCAATAAACGGTGCTGGGAAAACTGGGTATCTATGTGTAAAAAAACTGAAGCTGGACCCCTGTCTTATACCATATAAGAAAATTAACTCAAAATGGATTAAAGAGCTAAACATAAAACCTGAAAATATAAAATTTCTAGAAGAAAACATAGGGTAGTATCTTTTTGACAACAGATTTGGCAATGATTTCTTGGCTATGACACCAAAAGCAAAGGTAAAAACAAAATATAGACAAATCAGACTACATCAAACTGAAAAACTTCTGCATGCAAAGGAAACAGCATAGTGAGGGCAACCTATAGAATGGGAGAAAATATTTGCAAACCATATATCTCATAATGGCCTAATATCCAAGGTATATAAAGAATTCCTAGAACTCAACAACAACAAATAAGCAGATTAAGAAATGGGCAAAGGACATGAATAGACATTCCTTCAAAGAACATATACAAATAGACAACAAGCGTATGAAAAGATGTTCAACATCACCACACTAATAATCAGGGAAATGCAAATTATACCCACACTGAGTTATCACATAACACTCATTAGATGACCACTATCAAAAAAACAGCAAATAATATTTGTTGAGGATATGCAGAAATTAGGACCCTTCTGCTTTGTTGATGTGAATGTAAAATGGTGCAGTTGCTATAGTAAACAATATGGTGTTTCCTCAAAAATTAAAGTGTACAATTAATATATGACCCAGCAATCCTACTCTTGGGCATACCCATGTTCCCTGAAGCACTATTCACAATAGCCAAGTGGTGGAAGTAAACTGTATGTCCATCTACAGATGGACATAATATTATTCAGTCTTAAAAATGGAAATCCTGCCATGTGCCCCAACATGGATGAACTTTGAGGAGATTATGTTAAGTGAAAGAGATCAGCTATAAAAAGCTAAATACTACAGAATTCTATTGATATGAAGTGTCTAAAACAGTCAAATTCATAGAAACAGAAAGTAGAATGGTGGTTGCTAGGGTCTGGGAGGAAGAGGAAAGAGGCACAGAGTTTCAATAGGTACAGAGTTTCAACTTTGCAAGATAAAGAAATTTTAGAGATTTGTTGCACAACAATATGCATGTAGTGAACACTAATGTGCTATACACTTAAAAATGGTTAAGATGGTAAATTTCATGTTATGTGTATGTATCTCCAGGAGGAGGGAGTTTCCCACCTAGGGCAAGTTCTCTATGAATTCACTGAGACCAAAGGAAGAAAAGGGTGAGAAGTTGTGAATGAACAGGTTTATTCTCATGGCTCAGTTTCTCTTCACTCTGAATGCTACATGCTCAGCTCCCTCTCCCCACTCATGCTTGGCCACACTAAAGGCACTGGGCAGAATTCTGTGAGGTGGTCCCTGGTGACTGGCGGATGCCTGGCCAATTGTGTACAAAGAATGGAGGGAAGGAGATAATGGGTGCTTCCTCTCCACCCCAACCCTGGATCAGCAATCCCCTGACTGAACAGTGGCTCTGCCAGTGGTAGACATCCCATAAATATGCAAACATGCTCTTATTATATACAAAATGGGCACTATTCAAGCCAGGCAGGAATCCTGGTCAGAATGTTCCATTTTCCCCAAAGTGTGTTTGACCTCAATTCAAAAACTTTTTTTAATAAAGCAATGAGGACTCCCTCTGTGTGGCCATGGCATGATCTCCAAAATATACTGTTAAGTAATAAAAGCAATGTGAAGAAAAATGTGTAGAGGTGGTGCTGTCCAATATGGAGTCATCAGCCACACAATCATTTAATTTAATTTAATAAAATTAAAAATTCAATCCCTCATTCACATTCACCAGGTTTCAGGTGTTCAACAGGTAGTTAATGGCTACTGTGTTAGAAAATATAGACACAGAATATTTTCTTCTCCACAGAAATTTGTATTGGACTTTACTTGCATAGAATATGCCACCTCTTACCTATGAAGAGGGTGGTAACTAATACAACATGTTACAATTGCTCATATCTGAAAAACTGGAAGGCTAAGAAAAACTGACAAAAACCTATCTGGAGATCATGGAGCAGCCCAGGTTGGTAACTAAGGATGTATATTCATTTGAAAATATAATACATATTTACTGATTTCATGCACTAAAGAAGACAAGAAACAATGACCAATCAAGTAGCAAAGAATGACTCTAGTACCCAGACTGACTACTCTAAACACATTTGCCACTAAAAGCTACCAGGCTCCTCTGAAGAAAAATGGTTGATTCTTATGCCATAGAAGGAATTTTACCAGATGTGTCTGGGCCAAACTTACCTTACTAGAAAGCATGTCAAAAAGACTCAGAAGCCAATTTGAAGGGTCTTCCACTGGCCAAAGATTTGACGCCAATTAAAATAAAGACTATAATACATATCAAATATACAAACATCCATGTCATGATGACACTAAAAGAAAAGCAAAATGCAAACAAAACAAACTCACTGCTCACCTTTGGAGGATCCCAGGGAAACAACTCATTATTTTGAAAGGTAGAAATACTGCAAAAGAATTAAACATTCATCTTTCCCTTCCTGTGCAAGCCATACCTCAGTGCAATCTAACTGTTGATGAAGGTTAAGTTCCTCTCCTAGAAGAACTCCAGCTAATAAATGCATAAGAAATTATAGAATTAGAACATCATCCTTTTATAACTTTTAATGAAATGGAGATCTAGACAAAACTCTTCAGAGGCTACAAAACACATGAGATGAGAAACAGACAAGAAATTTTATAATGGATGGATCAGGCTGACAACACCTGAACCCAGTGATCAATCCATGTGTCACCAGAGGAAAGACAACCAGACAAAAGGAGCCTCCCGGTGTATCACTGAAAGAAGTATAACACCACATCGGAGGTACTCTTGTCAAAAAATCTGAATTGGATCAAGCCTCTAAATCTAATTACCAACTTAAAGGAAATAGGGAAGAAGAGGCAGAAGAATCTAACACAATAGGGATTCAACCAGCAAAATCTAGAAGGTAAACTCCAGAAGACAAAAGATGCAGTTTCTTAAGCAGATAATTGGGAGATTATAAAAAAAGAAGGAGGTCTTCTTTACATGAATAGACACTTAGACTTGAGAGAATTAAAATTAAAACCATGAGATACTACCACATGCTTACCTGGACAACGAAAGTGAAAAAGATGGATGACACCAAGTGTTGTCAGGGATTGGGAATATAACCTGGAACAACCATTTTGAAAAACTGCTTGACAATATCTACTGAGTTCAACATACCCACAACATGACTCAGAAATTCCTGTCTTACGGTAGGACAGCATGGAGAACATAGTCAATGATTCTGTAGTATCTTTCTACATTGATAGCAATTGCACTAGAGGGGATGAGGATTTAAAACATGAGTAACTGCTGTTTTGTGTATTTGAAACCAACATAAACATTGTATATTAATGATACTTCAATTTAAAAAATGCTTGTCTTACATGTGTCCAACAGAAAATAAACATCCATGTAAAAGTTATGTTCAAAATCATTCATAGCAATATTGTAAATAAGTCAAAAACTAGAAAACACCCCAATCACCATAACAGATATATATAAAATATCCACAATGTAATACTTACTATACATCAATGAGAATGAATGATGCACAACTACAGACAATGATAAGTAAATCTCACATACACATTATGTGAATTGAAAGGAGCCAGGCACAAAAGAGTACATGCTGCATGATTCTAGCAATCTTTCTTCCAATCTTCCAGTTGAGTTTGGGAGAGGAAAATCAACACCTCATTTCCTTTTATTTGAAGATTTTTAGTGTCTATGACTTTCAGGATAACCTCAGAGAAATACATACCCTCTGAGCCCTTGAAAAGGGATTCACTACACATAGAAACAGGTTAGTGCGATGTCTGATGGACAGGAAACTGGGTGTGAGACAGGAGACATACCTGGCCCCAGTGCCAGACCTAACCCACTAACTTGACATGACCTTGGATAAGTTACCACACTTCACCTGGTCTCACCTATCAATGAAGTTCAGACCATACCTGCCACCAACCAGCAAGATTTCAGATGCAGAACAATGTGATTCCCATCTGAAAAGCACTCTGAGTTTTTTTTTAATCGAAATATCATTGATATACAATCTTATATTGGTTTCAAATATACAACATAGTAGTTCAACAGTTATGTGTGTTATCAAATCCTCACCCCCTTTAGTGTGGTTACTATCTATCAACGTATAAAGATATTACAGAATCATTGACTATACTCTCCATGCTGTGCTACTGTCCCTGTGATGGTGTATTACAAATTATATTGCAAATGTGAATTATTGTGCCCCTTTATTCCCCCTCCCCTAACCCCAACCCATCCCAACCCCTCCACATTGGTAACCACTAGATACTTCTCAGTGTCTCTGAGTCCACTGCTGTTTTGTGCCTTTTATTTTTGCTTTATTTTTATATTCCACAAATAAGTGAAATCATTCGGTATTTGTCTTTCTCTGCCTGGGTTATTTCACTGAGCATAATACCTTCTAGATCCATCTATGTTATTGCAAATGGAAGAATTTCTTTTCTTTTTATGGCTGAATAATATTCCATTGTGTATATTTACCACATCTTCTTTATCTAGTCAACTATTGAGGGGAACACTTATGTTGCATCCATTTCTTCGCT